GGTGTCCTAGTGAAACTGTAAGAAAAAATATTTAGGCTGGCAAAAGGAAAATGAAGCTGGTTTCACAGATGAGACCTATCTCATTATTCCTGCTTTTACTAACAGTCTTATTGGATCTTTAATCAACATAAGTGATTATGTTTTCAATTTTGTATCTCATCAAGAAACAGCAAAACTTTCTTGGCTGGAAGTCCTGTTTAAGTAAAGGCCTGGTTTCTGCTCTCATTTTTTATCCTGTCATTCCTGGGAGAAGACAGTCTGTCCTTCTGTTAGTTACAACTATAGGGTGAGGAGACAGACTGCTCTCAATCTCTGCAGCTGAAGTTCTCCTACATATGGAAGAATTATATATTCATAAGGCCAGACAGCAAGTGTAACTAGAGTTTAGACACATTCTCCATTGTGTATGGAACATTTATAGCATTTGCTTTTCCAGAAAAGACTTGGTTTCTTGATTCCTACTCCACTAAATACCTCTGTAACTACTATGATGTGTCTAAGGAATGAGCTGAAGGTTTCCCACTGCCAGACAACTGTCCAAACAGCTGTACTAACGCTCATTGTTTAGTTATCTCTGTGACTCAGTATATAAACTGATTATACCACAAAAAGTAGAAGTTTCAGAGGAGCAGACTAAGAGCATCTCATATTGGAATACACTCAAGTTTGGCAGTTAAAGAACTATTCTGGAACACTCTTCAGTTAGAGAAGAGATTTTAATCTGGGTATCTCTCAAAGTGGCAAATGCTTTTATGAAGTATTAATTGACTAGGGCCTTGCCATCCTGTTGCTTATTTTACAGAAAAGGCCTGGCATTTTCCCCTAATTCCAGGAGGTGAAGTACTGGAATCTCTGAGAGGAATGACATTTGAACCCATCCCAGTACCATGTTCCTATCTAATAAGTTAGCTTTTGGGTGTCCCGTTTTTAGTTGCCTTACTCCTCCCAAGACTACATAAAGAAAAACTGCACTTAAATCAGGTGATCAAACACCTAAAATGCAGGCATTGCTCAACAATGCAATACCCAAGTGATTCCTAGGGGTATAGGCTTAGTGCGGTGTATTTGTACTTAACTGTCCGAATTGCTGCAATTATCTTTCCATGTTCTTTACTTGCAATATACTGGAAACTGCATAAACAGAACAAAAATAAAGTGAGAAGTAAAAACTATTGTGAAGTTCAGGATATAATTATACCTTAATTTAAATACTCAAGTCTAGACTACATGTTAGATTTCTGTAAGGTTTTGTCAGGGTTTAACACATTAAAACACTTTTTTTGTTGGTCTTCCCCTGCCACTATAAATATTGGATTATTCACACAAAAGCCAACAATTAAATACTAAAATGAGGGAAAGCTACCATACCAATCTATGTTTACATCACATACTTACCTTCTTCATAAAGCCTTGTACTCATTTAGACACTGATGTAAAACGTCACCTGAAAGTTTCATACATTCCATATTTTTGAGGAAATGGGTATACTTTTTCAGGGAGAACTCAGAACAAGTGAGCTACCAGTGGTTTCCAGTATCCATGAGACAAGGTCATAGCAATACAACATATGGAGTCACAAAGGAAAATAAGGTTACTACATGCTTATAATAATGCCAAGAAAACACACAAAATAGAAGTAATAACCTGGTACCTTTCATCCTCTGTTGCACTGCCACTTGTTTCAATTTTATGCCTATCTTGTAAGCTTTCCTGAATAGCTTGTTGGGTAGGGATTTCATCATCTGAATCATCATCGAACAGATATATAGAATTATACATGGCAAATCAGCACAACTTGGATCACTTTTCGTTGGGAAACACTGCTTTTTAATTGGAAGCAGATGTTAAATCTTCAGGTTAAATCTGGAGTAATAGAAATAGCAATCGCTGTTTAAGTATCAAGAGAAATGAAACATAGTTTAAAATAAATCAATCGGAACTTCTCCATCTCAAGCTCCAGCCTTCTCCCAAGTATTTAAGTTTGCGATGCAAAGAGTTACTCTATTTAGAACAGAGTTAAGGTTTTCTATTCCAATAGCACGAGCTAGCTTTTCTCTCTGTTCCACAGACTGAACATACAGAATAGCTACTTGTTCTGGCATTACTTATAAGAAAGCAACAAAAATAAGTAAAACTTAGTTTTCAGATAAATAGTCATTCCCTCTTAAGTCTTTTAGACACTCAAATATCATCACAATTGTGCTCTAATGTTTCCTTAGTAGGAAAACAGATGTGCAGTAAGACTTGGTATGTTTTTTCAGTTTGTTCACAGAGGGCCTGGAAGTGAAGGGCAAGTGAAGGACATGAAATTTTTTAATAGTAGCCTTTGTTCAAACTGTTTCAACAAAGATACCTTTAGGGCCATATCTCATAGTCAGGAAAGTATTGTAGTTTTGTGCTATTACATGCATCAGCCTTCCAACTGAAACAACATCAAATTCCATGCTTGAAAAAGGACCAACTTTACCACCTTATGTGCATAATCTACAGCCATTTAGAACAGATAAACTTACAATTCTGCATTCTTCTTCAATGCATGCCTGTTTTTTTCTAACACTTGTAAGGGATATATAAAAAATACTGCAATAATATATATTGAAATACAAGCAGAAATAAAAAACACTGGTGTAACCACAATGGAGTGAATTTCAAAAAAAAAAACCTTAAGAATAGCAGTAGTTTTAAAAAAAAAAAAAGTTTGCCAAGTTGAAAGGGTTCAATTAAAAATATTTTTACCCTTTTAAAATTGTAATACAAACAACGGAGCATAGAAATTAATCCCTTTGATATGATTTGTTAAGTCTAAATGTTAAAATTTAAGAAGAAATAAAAATTATTAATGATCAAATCAATCATTAAATAGTATAATGTGTGTAGGTGTACACTGTTATACGCATAAGCAGTCACACTGTTCTTTTTGTATATTCAGCTACATGCTATTACAGATTGAAATCACCGATGTTCCGTTAGGCTCAAACCTCTCATCTGTTTTACCTTATCAAAACTTCCACTTGTCTTTCAAGAGAGTTGGCCTGAAAAAAACAACCAAAAATACAGGGCAAAGTAAAATAAAATGAGTAAGTAAAACTGAAAGCAAATAGATAAATTAGCAAAATGAACGAGCCCAGCAAAATGAAGGAAGTTGTCAACATGCCACATACAAAGTTTGGAATAATTCTAGAAACATCTTAAAGTTGAGCAGCAGTAATTCATAGTAAACCTGCATCATTTAATTTGTTACCTGATCCACCTAATGTGTGATTGCAAGGCCTTGCTCTGTAATTGTACATGTAGCAAAAAAGAGAAATATATTAACAAAATATACAGACAAGTAACTGTTGGTATTCAATTATGCCTATAGTACAATGAGTATATAAACATTTTAAATCTAGACAATTTCTTTTTTGTAAAAAGACTACTGATTTTCCTATGAAATTGAGAAAATATACTGGTTTTCCTCACCTTCTGAAAGAGGGAAGACCTCACACTTTGAAGAAGTGATTATTAAGTTGAAAGTGATATTTTCAGGATTGAAAACGATCTCAGTGGAGCCTACGTCCATTAATAGCTCACTATAAATACCCGATCATAAGATACTCTGGGACTTTCTCCATGTTTCTTTCATATAGGTTAGTTATGTTTAATAATCTGACCTGACAAATGGTGTCAGCAAAAGCAGGAATTAAAAGTCCAGTTTCTTTGTAAAAATACTCTTGTTAACAGTTTTTGGAATGAGAATTTGAGAACTATAAGTAGCAACTATTACATTATGGAAAGAAAATTCTTTAGTGCTTTCCTAAAGGAGTAAACTGAAGATACTGTTAGGAGCTTACTTAAAAGAGTAAGACAGTGTAAAAAGAAAAACTAAAAACAATGAAAGTAAACATAAACAAGCAAATACAATCAAGCAAGAGCTCTATTAAAAATTACCATGTGTTTCTGATTGCTTAATCACAATTCACATACTAAATAGAAAAGCAAAGAAAAAAAAAACATATAGAGTCTCTAGAGGGAAAAGCACAGTTTCAGAAAGACAGACCCATGCTGAAAAGTTATGCTGGTGTAACACACAATAAGCAGGGAAATTAAGGACATAGATGCCTAGTTATAATAGTGAAAGTAGGATGGAGTGAGACTTTCATGTGCTTAATTTACTCCTACTGTATTTTACGGAGGGATCCTTACAAAGAAATGATGATGGCTGTGTCTGAATGCAAGGCGGAAATAGTTCTTTGCTAGAGGAGATCTAGAAAGAATGCTTGAGTAATTCTTTTTTGTTTGTTTTTTTCCCTTTAAAAGAAAACAACAGTGCAGAATCAGTGAAGGAATTGAAACTGGACTGCCTCTCTGGAGCAACAGGGAAACAGATAACATTTTATGGCAGGTGGTCATAAGGGCGATTTTATCATTTATTCTTCACGGAAACTATTTGGAAAAACACCCTTACAAAAATCAGAATATCTGAATTAAATCCTGAAAAGATGAATTTGCTGAGCAAGGAAGACATCAGAAGTACCTACTATAGATAGTTAAATGATTTCTCATACTGCAATATTCGCTGTTGCTATGACAGAACATAGGCTATATATAAATCCCGATTGAAATCCCAGAACTTACTACCTACTAGCTTTCCACTCACATGATTCAGCACTCTTAATGCTTCAAGTTCATTAACTGTAATGTTTCTCTCAGAAAGTGGAGGCTATTTTCATTTTCTATTAAGATATATTTTGTGATATTCAAGTAATGCATGAAATTGATGTTTACACATTAATATTACCAAAGGCTAAAATCCTAGCTGTATCTTTTATAGATTGTAAAGATGCTAATAAGAATACATACTTATTTAAGACAAAATATTGAGGATCAGAAAATATTTGCATGCCCTCTTTTAATATAAAAAAAGTCCAGATGTTTCTTTTACACAGTATGTTCCACTTCCTCATTAAACCAACAAAAAGAACGCGATCTTGTGAAGTCTGTATCTGAACTGTCAAAAGTTAGTCATCCAGCTGGCAGAGCAATGCAACACCTCGCTTGATCCAGTGTTGAACTGGTTTATCTGTGTTAAGCGTCAAAGCAATGACGAAGTTAGTAGAATGTCCAGTAGTAGATAAGATTCCTTTACGCTCGCTTGTCTTGTAGAGTGGGCAAACATACGCATTAGACTTCTTCATGTTTGATTTTGCAGCTTCAGAAAAAAACCAAAATAATTTATTACATTCAGCAGATCTATTGATACAAACATAATCTACATACAAATATTAAGTATTTACAGTTAACGTCCTTAAAGCTAAATAAAAATGCAAAATTGTTTTTTGAGTAACTGTCCTGGTTTCAGCTGGGATAGAGTTAATTTTCTTCCTAGCAGCTGGTACAGTACTGTGTTTTGGATTTAGTATGAGAATAATGTTGATAACACACCGATGTTTTAATTGTCGCTAAGCAATGCTTACATGAAGTCAAGGACTTTTCAGCTTCCCGTGCTCTACCGACTGAGAAGGCTGGAGGTGCACAAGAAGCTGGAAGGGGGCACAGCCAGGACAGCTGACCCAAACTGGCCAGAGGGACATTCCATACCATGGGACGTCATGCTCAGTACATAAACTGGGGGAAAGCTGGCCGGGGGGGCCACTGCTCGGGGACTGGCTGGGCATCGGTCAGTTTTTTTTATTACTACTACTACTACTACTACTACTACTATTTTACTTTATTTTATTTCAATTATTAAACTGTTTATCTCAACCCATGAGTTCTCTCACTTTTACTCTTCCAATTCTCTCCCCCGTCCTGCCGGGGGGGGGGTGGGTAGTGAGCAAACGGCTGTGTGGTGCTCAGTTGCCGGCTGGGGTTAAACCATGACAGTAATATAATAAAATCATCTGCCTTTTTTTTGTATTTTCTTCTGTGGTTTGTTTTGATTTTAAACATGACTAATTTAATTACAATTTGTTTTCAGGACTCGATGCCTTTCTGTGATTCTACCAGCTTTGTAATCATTCAAAGACACATTAAAATCTGAATAGTTACATAGTTAAAGCATAGTTTTATACACGAGCTTTTAACAGCTCCACAAGAATTCTGGTCCAGCAACCACAGAACCTAACTGCAATTCAAGTCACCTGAGATCCAAGGACACAACTCTGCAGGAGCTCTTTGTATGCCTAGACTGCTTACATGCAACTTGTGCAAAGTCTAAAATCATGCACGTCTGAATAGATTCATCCAACCTCAAGAGAAAGCACAGGCAGGAAAAGTGGAAACTTTGTAAGACTGCCTATTAGCTAATAACACCTAAGTTGCAACAGTTGCAGTAGAAAGTCCTGCTTAAGTGCATGAATTAAAACAGGGATTTACTGCTCCTGATCAAAGAAAACAAGAGTTAGGAAAATATCTTACTAGTATGACAGACAACTAGCGTAGCAGCTAAAAATAACCTGAGCAAACCTTTCTAAATCATGTCAGGTAAAACATCAAGTCTCTAAGTCAATTAAAAGCTCTCCTCGAGTAGAGCCAGGAATTCAAGCACCATGTGCTTTCCTACCCAAATTAACTTTTGATTGAAAAATAGATTGGGCAGCACCTAAACATATTTATAAAAAATTAATTTAACTAGTCCTTTTGTCTAATCCATAATTATAAACAGCTGCGGGGAGAGGGACAGGCCCATCGCTCAGATGAGATGGGACTGAGTCAAGCTAGCAGGCCCAGTTTTTAATGTAAAAGTCATAGGTCAGATGCACATGAATTCTGCGTACATTTGAGTACTTTGGTGAGGGTATGAGCATTGATTCTCTGTAAAAAAGGAATTCACTGTTGCAATTTCTTGTCGAATAGCTCACACTTCAGAGAAATTATACTCACTTGGCTTTATCCAAATGATTGGCATCATATCAAAGAGCAATTTGGGATACTGCTCAGCTAACATTCCCCTGGTGAGAGAAAGCAACAAAGTAATTATTTGTGGCTTGGTGTTAAACCAAAGAGGGTTTTGGTGTGTGTTTTTTGTTGTTGCTTGCTTGGTTTTTTTATTTTTTTCTTCTCCATTTTCCATGCATGAAAGAGTATTTCATTTGGTGTGTTATTTCAATAATATGAGAAGTATCACTTAAAATATTTAAACAGATCTTGTTTGAGCACCTAAGAAAGCTTTCCAGAAGCATAGTAAACCACTTTGTTACTGACTTGGTCCTGTCCCAGCGAGCTCCGTCTAAAAATAATCCGTGGATATAAACACCATCTTCTGGTGCAGTATCAGCAGTATCTTGAGGAATAACCTACAAGAAATAAGCGTTCCATGTTATTAAACCGTTATAGCTGTTTGCTTTTTGAGGTATTATGCCAATAGCCGATTTTCAGAAGATCAATCCAAAATGAGAATAATATAGTAATACCTTCCTTTCAGTACTACTTTTATACAAAACTATAAAGATAGCAGATCTCTGTGGGTTTGTTAATTACCTTTATTGTAGGTTATAAAATAAGGTTTTAATCACACAGACAAATGTGTACTCTATAGGCTGTTTTCTTGAGTGGAGGTCCAGGCCCAGTGATAGAACTACTTTTAATGCACCTCTTTTACGGATGTTATTTAACATGCCTACCTTACCAAGGAATTAAATGTATGTCTTCAAATTGCAGTGAGTTAGTTGCAAAATGAACCTTCCAGTCAGGATTTACTTACTACTACATCTCACTGCAATATCAGGACTCAGATTAATATAAAGATAGCAGATCTCTGTGGGTTTGTTAATTACCTTTATTGTAGGTTATAAAATAAGGTTTTAATCACACAGACAAATGTGTACTCTATAGGCTGTTTTCTTGAGTGGAGGTCCAGGCCCAGTGATAGAACTACTTTTAATGCACCTCTTTTACGGATGTTATTTAACATGCCTACCTTACCAAGGAATTAAATGTATGTCTTCAAATTGCAGTGAGTTAGTTGCAAAATGAACCTTCCAGTCAGGATTTACTTACTACTACATCTCACTGCAATATCAGGACTCAGAAAAATAAAATATGCGTTTATAATTTATCTCTACCTGAAATTCACATCCCAGAAGGTCAATAGGGATCCTGTGCTTCCTAGCATAGTTTTGCATAGCTCCAGTTAAGAAAGCTTGAGTAAAATAGAATCCTGACAGCCAAAAAACCGTGGGCTTCCCTAATTCATACCAATCCTGGGAAGAGGAAAATGACACATTCAGTAATCAGAAAGAGACAAATCCCATATTGTTTGACCATTTTCTACATAACTGTACTCAGAAAATCTAAGCGAAATCTATCACTCCTTTCCCAATACTCCTTTAATGTAAAGGACAAATTATATGAAGAAGTAGATTAAATAATTGGTAGTACTGCCTCTTGTACGTTACCTGTAAAAATTTCAGCCTTTCTAGAAAATCTAGAATATAGCTCCCTAATGGTTTTAGACTTGGGTATGAACGTTTCGCCCAATTCTCAGGAACTTTTCCAATAAGTAGACTGCCACACAGAGCCTCCAGTTCAGCATCCATAACAACCAGTCCTTTAATGGCTTTCTTCAGGTTAATTAGCGTAATACGAATAGTTCGGATTAAACTAGAATTAAAAAGTAAAACAAAATTTTCACATGTTTTGCATGATTTGTAAAACATTACATCCTCACTGGGGAAATAAAAAAAAAAAAAGAAAAAACTGGATTATGGAACCATCTATAGAACTTGTATAGCTGCTATATAACTGCATAATTAGCCACATCTGTAAAGTCACGGATTTGTGCATTTGTGCAGATTTATTTAAAACTATGAACAGTTTAATAAACTATTTTGTTATCTCTGATATACTCTGTATTGTTTGGTAAGAGGATAAATTTGGAACTCCATATGTATACACCATATACTAGATGAAGGAAAAAGGTTTAGATTACAAAAGAAGAGGTGGGTAGGGTCTGCAACAAAGGAAAACTTGGAGACTGAAGGCCAGAGAGCATCATTGAAAGTTTGGGAGAAAATGAAGTGGGAGATGCGAAGAGACAAATAGAAAAGAAGGAGAACAGAGAAAAACAAGGAAGAAAGAATAGAGGAGCAGGCGAAGATAAGAAAGAAAATTAGGAAACAAAGTCAAAAGAGAGACAGAGAACCCAAGAGAAAAATAAAAGTGATTATAGGTTTGTGATCCTAGGAGAATAATTGTGAAAAGAAGGTACAGGAAGAAAGGCATCAGGAAAGGGGAAAAAAAGGAAATATTTAAAACAGAAGCATATGAGACAATAAAGAACTAAGCAGAAATATTTCCAACTATCAAGGAAAAGGTTTCATAAACTATAACTGTGCGTGTATTAGTTTCTAACCTCTTTACCCTACAGGTCAGAAATATGAAGAAAATAAAATATAATTGAAGGTAAATATGGTGAAAGAGAAAGTGACGTTTAAAAAAAAGGAACAAAAATATTGTTCACGTTCTCTTTTCCAAGTGCCTCCTCAGACTCCCTTCTTCTATCATTTTTCTCTTTCAGTTCATTTTGCCACTAGATCATTTTTCCTGACATCTATCCTACATTCTGACTTTCCACGAGGAGTAATAGTGCTTGGACTGCAGACAGTTAGAAGGGGACAAAATAAATAAATACATATTTCACACAACATAAGGTTTACAATGTATGATTCGCAGGAAAACGTTTTCTGCGAATGGAATTATTTCAGTTACATTTAATAAAATATAACACTCTTACTGGTTAAATCTTTCCATTTCTTGCACCAACACAGTGTTCATACTTTCTTCATATCTCACAGGATATCTACTTAAGCAACCTTCAATGTCAAAATCATTTGGAAGCTGTAAATGACAACATATTTGGAAATGATTCCATATATCATTATGCATCGGTATTATATCAAAAGTATGCAGATGTGAAAAATTGCAGAGCAATAGATACCATTAAACTTTCTGATGACTATCTTATCAATACAGTATTTAGTAGTTTAAACCAAATAAAAATTACATGGTTTTTTAAGTGATGTTTATCTTTTAAAAACCACCTAGAATTTGTCATACTATGAAAAGTTAGGAATACATTTCAATTTTATTAATTTTAAACTTGCTCACATGAATCAATCAACTGTTCTTCCAAGTTGTGTTTGTTCTGTTTTCTCTCTCTGTCTCCTATCTCCTACCTATTTATTACTTTCATATTGCACTAAATTCCTCCCAGGAGGTTTTTCCTCCAACATGAAATCAATTTGACACTAAAGATTCTAGTTAAAGAATTTCTGCTTCGTAAAAAGACAAATTGGAGTCATTGGTATAATACAATACCTTGCTGAGAATATCATCTGCAATTTCATAGAGAGTGCTGTCACCACCTCCAGAAGTTCCCTGACTGCCTCCTCCTTGTGTTAAAAGCAGAGATTCAAAGAGGATCTTAGTTTGCTGAAGATCTTTTGAGATATCCGCATTTTCATGCAAACCAAATACCTCTGGTTGCTGACTAAAGGGAAGACCCTAAGATAAAATAAACAATAAATATCTGCATGAGATAAAGCAGCATGCTAGGAATTAGATCCAAGTAAGAAGCTGAGTAAAAAACTACCACTGACTTCAATTGAAGGTGGATAAGGACCTTAATGGCAGATATTTGCAGACAGTATTACTGGTGATAGAGCCATCACCTTACTTACAGAAAGCCATTTCCAAGGAATTCTTGATTATCTATACTAGGTCCTCCTGTCTACTTACTGATTCCCTCTCCCTCTCAGAAACGTTCTAGATCATGGCAAGGATCATACAGGATGTTAGGCAAGAAGCCAAGCACACAGTTTAATATGCTGCAAAACTACCTTTTTAATGCAGAGAAGCCTTTAAGAATTGCGTTTTAGTACATCATCATTATAACAGTTCAAAATCTTGTTGCTACTTTTTACCTTAATAAACTCAACATAGTCCTCATATGTGCCTTTTGGTGGAGCATAATAGTTGCCACTGGGAGAAAAAGTGTAACGAGGATTTTCAATTATATCTGGATTATAGAAGTCATCCAGCATTGTCAGCAGTAAACGTCTGTCCCAGTCATCTGTCACTCGGCCTCCATAGTTGCACTCACCAGTTAGGTAAGATACAGCTTCAAAAGGAACATGGCTATATTCATTTATGAATAACTGAAACAGAAGATGTGAGTAATTCTAGAGACTTGAAATATCTGCAGAACAAGTGTGACCTACAGACTAAAGGGTTGGAAGCTATAGTGCATGCAAAACTGCAGTTTATGGAGTTTTCTCCTTAAGTGTTGGAAATTCAAATTCTGAAATCTTTTTTCAGGTAAAATTACTGTTTAAAATAAAGAGGAGTTAGTAGTAAAAGCCTCATGAATATCTAAATTAGTAAGTCATCAAAGTAATTCTTGAATTATTTACAAGTGGATAGTTTTTCCAGTCTAAAACTTTCTAGATGGACACTTTTCTGTGTTACAAAGAAATGTGCATTTCACAGAGTTTTTCTTCCAATCTCCAGAACACTCTGATCTCTTTCATTAACTTCTTGGTAACTTTTCCAACTGTTCAGCCTCAACTTCTGTTATTCACAGTTTTAGCTCTCCTGACTTTCCTATAGAGGGCCTAAAGATCATTTTAGGGAAGGAAAATAGTCTGAGACTCTGTTTAACTAACAGTATACATGTAGAAAAAAAATTCCTCCTACTAACCACAAAACCCACCATAATAGGTGACTGTCACTGACATGGTGTTACTTAAAACACAGTGAGCTCATATATGACAATTTTAACTCTTATTATACTCATATATACTCATTATATTCCATACGTCTGTATGATTCTAAACCTCATGAAGAAAAATTTTTAATTTTATTTCATTTGTAATTTTGAAAATATTTATAATACGATTGACATTCCTTGCCTTTGTAGCTGAACTGAAATGAAAATCTATGAACATTTGATGTAACTTAAATGTATTGCTCCTTTTTGACTATCAGCTCGTTCCTATGCTTCGCAAGATCAGAGTTAAAGGTAGCAATAGATGATTTTACCTGCAGCTGCCTGATACTGATTCGTAAGTCTGATTCATTAAATCCATAGGGTATATTCCAACCAAGAGGCCCAAATTTTCTTCTCTCCTGAACAAGAGCGTGGAAAAAACAAACTCCAAAGAGCAGTTTCTCCCATACCTTTGAGAAAAACAAAACAAAAAAGTATTATAACTAGCCTATATGCTCATGCTAGTCTGTAACTTATACAGAGAACACACCATTTGATTACCTCTCCATCTAAGGTACAAATACAGGCAACTATTAAGTATGCTGTGGTTATTTGACTTGGGAACACACACACACATATGCAAGCACATTTAGCTAGTTCCTCAACATTACACAAGGTTTTTCTCTTCTTCCATGTAAAGGGCAGCTGATTTCATAAGAATTCAAATAGCACCTGATACTTATTTTTAAGGCTCCTTAGACAAATATAAAATACAGATGTATTGTTTAATATAAGTCCTTAGATGCACCCACTTATACCTATGTATATTGATTACCATACTCTATCTCTGAGTAATCCCACTGTTTTTTCACTTCCTTCACAGGTAGTGATTAGCTAAGTGGTTCATCACTTATCAATAAGACACATGGGCTCTGCAGTACTGGTCCCTGGTAGCAAGAAAAGATCTTCTCAGTTCTTACCATCTCAATAATGATAGGTATGCCCTACCAATGAATGCTCAGAGTTTATGTACATTGTGTAACGTGTGTGTGTGTGTAACATGTATGTAATTTAATAAAGCGTAAGAAACCATTTTAAATATTGCCACGTGAAATTACCTGGCAGAGTAATTCTCAACTAATCACCTTTATCATTGCAAAACCTAAACTCAACCACAGTAAAAATTTTAGCTTATAATATTCACTGGACAGAAATCAGTATATTTGTGGATAAAATAAAAAAAAAAAAAAAGAAAGAATAAAACTGTCAGGAGATCAGCAAGTTACCAGCTCCTTTTCAGGGCATCCAGAGAAGAACGCAGGATCAGAAATAGGATCAGAAAGAAATGACTGCAGTAGGTTTAATCGGAGACCAGTAGGAGGTTCATTTGTCATCTTCACTCCGTTCTGCAGAATGGTTACGGGAAACTAGAAATAAAAAATAGCAAAACTGCATTCAGAAAGTGTGGAATAGATGCTATATTGTTATAACAGTATATTATTACTCTGTGTTTGTTATATAAACAATTATCTGTAATAAATTACATTTTAAACATCAACAGCTTTTAAAAAAAATTCTTAAAGGCATCTAGAAAGTAAGACCTTGCTGTAAACAACAAACCTATATTTTAACATGTTTTCTTGGTGTTCAACACCTTATAAATAAAATGCAAAATTAAATTTTTGAATTCACGTGAAATAAAACCTCGGTGACAGCATAAAAACTTCTTAATTATACATGCTGGCAAAATGCAGTTCCATTCACTAGTACACAAAATATCACACATCACAATATCAAAATATTACAAAGGAAGCTCAGTATTACTATGTTTATATTTTTTTTAAAGTGTCCTTTCTTAATTAATCTCTTCAACAGCCTCATTGTATTTCAGAGAAGTTACGTATTATCAGCTCATTCAGGGGTATAAGTATTTCCTAAAAATGTCATCAACTTTTCCTTTCCCCAAATACAGAAAATTTGGCAATGCATGTACCTTTGGTGAAGGGTAACTAGTAAGCCAAAGTCTGAAGACTGGATGACATTTTTCACTGTTAAACTCTTCACATATTTTCTCCAGCATCGGCATCCAGGAGACAGCTAAATGACAATTTTGTAAACAAATCCAGGTTCCTTCTTCCATTCCTTTTTGAATCATTTTTGTAGCTATAGGTCCTTGTCCTTGTCCTAATGAGATGGACTGAAACTTATCTCCAACCATCTCTCTGTCATTTGCAAATTTCAGGAGGCCTTGAACAGAAAGCATAAGATTTTAGCACTTCCTCATTAAAAAGAAGTTATGTCAGTAAAAAAATATTTTAAAATGTTTATTCCTATTTTGTTAAAACGTACATACAATAAGATGGCACAGCTTTGATGTAGAGTGTAAAATTTATTCAGTTTAAAATACCATTCCCATTTTTAGGGAGCACAGAATTTTACCAGTGTGACATGATGCACTCAAATCTACTTGCACAAAGTGCAAAATAATCCTCACTGTGTATTGAAGGGGAAATTCAGGTCCCTAATCTGAAAAGCTATACTACGCTTTTGTTTTCACTTTTTGTGTATACTTACTAGACATGGGATCTGCCCCTGGAGATAGCACAAATATTAAAGGGATTGCAGAATTTGAATCTAAGTAACTTTTTGTTAGATCAAAAGGTGGTGGCTCTACGAATTTCTTCCCCAGTTTATCAGTTACAAATGTTGTTATAGCTGGACCAACCTGGTAAAAAAAGTAAATACAAACCATTAACTTAAATTAAACATAAGTGCATATTTGACAGCATCTTTTATGTACCATATATTAGTTAAATTCCTGAGCCTACAGACAACTCTCTGCTTTGCACAGATTTGAGGCTACTCTTGCAGAATGCTTCAGAAACAAAGGTTTCACCTCTTGTTGACACCCCCCCCCTCTTTTTTTTACCCCCCCCTTTTTTTTTTTTCCTTGCAAGAGGCATAATAATGCTTTTAGAAAATAAAAGATAACATACCTCATATACACAATATTAAATTACATTAAGACTTAAATTCAGACTTTACCTGATGTGGAGGACCAGCACATTTCCCCTTTGTAAATATTAATGTAATTATTTTTAATTAAGTCTAAGGAGCAATTGCAATATGTACTTTAAATCCTAACATTGATTGTTCCTAAAGTACATACAATACAATTGCTAAGTGCACCAAAGGCACAACATGTTAGAAGTTCGCCTTGGCTGTTCAAATAAACACATTTGATTTCTCTTTGCCTTGGAATCCTTTGTGTGAAAGAAAGCCCATGGTACTGCATACTCTGTGTATTTGTTCAGACTAATATATCCTGTTCTCGAGTATATAACAGCCTAAAGATGAACAAGCACTTGAAAACTAGAACGATGAGTACACTCTGAAAGATGCATTAAATCATGTCAGACAAAAGATTTCAGCTGATGCTTGTGGTGTTTGCATTGCTCAACTGAAAAATAAGAACAGCATATATTTTCTTAATAAAATATGATGAAGAACAGATTACTTATTTTAACAACCAGTGCAAACTATGCTACAAGACATGGAACAGTCTACAAACACTTGATAACAGATCATTTTACCTTATCCGGTCTTAAGCACCGAAGAATTATCATCTTTTGTAATTCATTTAATGTATTACTCAATTGTTCTGGTAATGGAAAGCTTTGTGGCTCTTTGCTGTCATAAATTTTTTGCCATTCACCTATATTTTCAGAGATGTGACTCCTAGAGAAAAAAAGCACTTACAATTACTGTAAATACCTGAGTCTGTTTTTTGATGTTTATCAAAAGCCAATTACATTGTATTGTCATACAAGCCACTCCACATTTACATCAGCAAAGAATCCTACAGTTGAGCTTCTCCATGCTGAAGAGTGAAAAATCTTTTCCCACCATGCTATTGCTGACATACAAAACCCCACCTGAAAGGTTCCAAGTTGACAATAAGTTCTGCCTATTCCTCCAGCCAGCACTGCTTGTATCTTCATAGGTCTGGGTGAATTTTCTGCCTCTCATATTTCAGGAAAACTTCACTATTCAACGAAGAAAACTACCAGGAAATTCGACCAGGGAAAAAAAAATTTTTTCCTTCATGCAAAACACAGAGTACGTCCTCTGCAATGGGACAATTCTCAGACTATTTAAAGGCTGGATCATCATCCACATCACTACTAAAACTCCAAAGGGGGAGAAGCACAAAACAGCCCCAAACAATTTCTTCTAACAGAGCAGTGTTTCCGCAATCAGATCCAAATCCTCCAAATATTCAGGCTCTGTCAGCCATTTATATGCAAGACTTATACAGCCACACCGGCTCCAGAATTTAGGGTTAAATTCTATTTAAATCCAGGATGAAATTCTCCCGATTTCAGGAGATTAGATTTTACCAGAAAAATTCCTCCCCCAGCACTGCAGTGGAACTTTGCTACATATACTCTCTTTGGCCTCCATTGACCCCCTTGAAACACTGTTTCTCTACCATAGAGAGATTACAAGAGAAAAGTTTCTTTAGGGAACGCCTCAAATAATTTAGGAAAATAGTTTAATTAAATATTATAATTAGCCAACTGACCGTTTGGCTTAAATAAGTGAAGCAAACCTAATGATGGAAAAAGGGGCTGGTTTTACGATGTTGGCATTCTGGCACTGGTTTGGAAAATGTACAGAAAACATTTCTTTCAGCATGTTACACACGCTTTGGTCAAAAACAATTAAGGCTAATTCACATCAACATTTTACTATACCTCAGTCCTTTCAAAGCTGGGATTTCACTTGCACGACATAATTCATCCCAGCTCTTATCTGGTAGCCAAGATGGATCTGGATTCTTGTACTTATTCTTGAGACCCACACCCCCAGTTAGTAAGAACATAAACTCTTGATGTTCTATTTCATTTTTAGCCCTATATTAAAAAAAGAGATGGATAACATTCAGTTATTGAGATACAATTTTACATAATATAAAGAGTTGTTTGAAATTAATTATGCTTCACTGCCATTTAGTAATACTTTTACTGCAGTTAACAGCTGAGATCAGATCTCAGTATTCTATATAGTTAAAAAACTGTACGGTAAAAATGACTGATTAAGACTACAGTAAGGGTTTCAAGAGGTAAATGGTATATATCTGCTTATTTGTTTTTAAAAAGTGCAATTATTCCTGATTTTTAAAGGCTTTATAGAAAATAATAGGTTTTGGGAATATAGTAGCCTTACAAATTGGTCCAGGAAGAATGGTCCACATACAGGTGTGTACACATTGTAATTAAATATGTATGCACATTACAGTTATGATCGTGCAATTTTGAACTTATCTTTCCTTTCACAATGTATTCACACAAAATCACACAAAAACCAGGAAGATGAAACTAAAAAGCTGGTGGAAGAGGGAAGACTGCATCTGAGATCTCATGATGTATGCAAAAGGATAAAAGAGAAAGATGAGAGAAAATTAAAAACAAAGACAAAAGCCTAGAAGTTGCTGGGATGGCACATTACTGTCTCAGATTTCTTTCCAAAACATTTTCTTAAATAACAGCAATCATTCTTGACATAGGATGCTATGTAGCACTACCCAGGTCCTTTAAAGGGAGTCAAAGATGTATCATCAACAAAACCATTGATTTTAGTAAGCATAGGAACATTCTTTTCGTAACCTGTCCAAAGGCTAAACATAGTAGTGATACATGCACTCGCATACTCTTTCACTTGTAAATATTATCAGTATTAGAAAACCCCAAACATTCATGATCTTACTCCAAAGGCTATATTATCAATATGCACAAGAACATGTTATCTCATCAATACCTTTCTCCATTATAAGAAAATCATTAGTTTCTGTTATTAAGAGACTTCACAAAAATAAGCTTACATGAGAAGATTACAACATAGCAAAAACGAGAAGAGCAGCTTGTCCTTTTCAAACAGTGATCGACACACACTGCAATACAAATTGTATGTAAAGTGGTCATTTAGATATCGAAGTCGTTTCTCCAAAATTTTGGATTTGTTACTAAAAAGAAAAGAAGTGAGAAACTGAGATTTCAAATTGAATAACTTAGGCAAATCAATTAAGAAATCTAAATCTATTTAGCGTTGCAGAGGAATTATATTAGGCCCACATGCTCCACGATGGACTTGGATGCCCATTTCCCCAAAATTCCATTTATACTCAATGTTTTACAGCTCTTTTAAAAGTCCCAAGCAAAATAATGAGCTGAAATCAATTTGCCAGTTAGATGGTGGCACTCATAGTGTTCATAATGGAGCCTAGTTCAGAATCAGACTTCATCCTTTCTGTAAGTCACATTCTTAAAAATACTTAAATAAAGCACATGCTTGCAAGTTCATTGTTTGCTCAAACAGTAACTAAAAAGAGCATTTACATCATTAACAAATCATATTTTGTTTCAAAAACCTGCATTTAATGAGGGCTAAGAGGTAAATTTTCAAACTTTCAAAACAGAGGCAACTGTTCATAAGAAGAAAATGAAAACATCTTATTTTACACCAGAAAGACTCTATTTACCTATCGTGAATAGAGATGATGAAGAGGTTAACAAACCAACTAAGGGAGTACTGGTACATGGGATCAATGTTTGCCAAGTCTGCAGTACTAAAGAACAGCACCGATGAATGCTTTGCAATAGGTCGATAACCTTCTCGAGATTCAGCTATTTTAAGTTCCGTTTTCTCTGCAATCTAAATACAAATAGTAGTTGATAAAGAAAAGCTTTCAAATATTCTCTTTTGCACAAAAATATTACTACTTAATAACATTACTAAAATACTTCTGTACAGCACTTTGTAATGCCAGAGTAAGACAACTTTTATGTTCCAAAATGCACAATCACAGTAGGTGATAACTACACTAAAATGAGTCCTTGCTCTTAACATAGTAGTGCCTGATCTATTTACCTATACTACAGGATGCAATAGTCAAAACAAAGGACAACGGAGGCACAACAGTCTTGATGCATCATTTAGCATCAAAAGTATCAATCTTTATCTCTGCAATATTAAAAAATATGGTTAATTTCAGACTGGTTATGTATTTAAGCTCTAGTTATTCTACTGTAAATCAGCTTTATACAAAACCATACTTTGAATACAAAAAGGTTTTTTAAAATTTGACCATCAGATGTATTTTGAGATTACATTTGATAGGCATTAACAAATAGCAGGAAGGCCAACATCAGCTTAAAGAAAACAAAAAAAGAAAAAAATCTTTTTTCTCTTACGAATGTTATTTAGCTCTCATTGACTTCAGCTGGTATTTTATGCATCAAGTGTAATAAAAGAATCTGGGCTTGCATACCTATATTGGTCACCCAGATTATTAGTGTCTCCCTGAATATTCTTCTCGTTTTAAAAAATTCGTTCCTTCCTTTACCTTAACATGTTACCTTAACTTCAGAATTTTTACTTTTCACTCAGTCTTTATAGATAGATAGATACATATACATTAAAATATTTTTAATTAAAGACTGAATAAACCGTCAGTGAAGATTTGAGAACGGATCCAATTTTATTTCTCTTCACATTTCACAAGCACAGAATTTCCTCCTTGTGCTTTGCATCTTAGTCGCATTCCTTCTGCTAGCTGCAAATTTTAACATTTAATTTCTACGTATTGTTAAGGAAAACACATATACACACACTCCTTACCTGCTGTTTTTTTGTGATCTCATTAGCCATTATTTTAGCAGAATCCAAGACCTCGATAGCAGTCTCGTCTTCCAGAATATTCCCTTCAGATGAATGTAAGGTTTCTAAAATTTTCTTCTCAATTTCTTTTAGATGCTTTTTATTGGCTGCAGATTGAAGGATGAGAGCATTTCTTTCCTCTTCTAATTCTGGTCTAATGAAAAAAACACATACAAAAAAACCAGTCAATGTTAATCTTCCACTGACTGTAAAGGAAGCCCATGAAGATGACTCCCTCTTCCTACAATAAATATTTGTGAATGTTCTCTTCAGTTTAAATGAGGACATCAGAAAAGATTTCTTTACTGAAAGAGTGGTTAAACATTGGAACAGGCTGCCCAGGGAAGTGGTTGAGTCCCCATCCCTGGAGGTATTTAAAAGACGTGTAGATGAGGTGCTTAGGGACATGGTTTAGTGGGCATGGTGGTGTTGGGTTGACGGTTGGACTCGATGATCTTAGAGGTCTTTTCCAACCTTAATGATTCTATGATTCTATGAAGTAGGTTGTTACTGTTCAGCATATGTTTATAATTCTGAGTATAGGTTTCTTCACATAACTTCAGTTCAGTATTTGGAAATGATGGTCTAAATTTTAACATCTTAGCATTTTGCACATGCCAGTACATCCTAGTTTTCCTTTATCATATCTCTGCTGCCTGAAAAAACACCATGCGATATGCAGAAGTTGTTTACCGCTGGAAACGCTTTTTTAGCAAACAGAGTTTAGCCCAACTGCACAGACATTTCTGTACAACCCAGAAACTACTTCTCTGTATCTCTGTGAGGGTTCAGATAAAACCCATAATCAGTTTCAGAGGTGCTGTGCATTTATTTCATATGAAATTAAAACAAAATCCTCATAATTCTGCATCCTTGTCTGGCAGCTCAGTCAAATTGCAAAAATCACAATAATGATTTAAACTTCAAATAATATTTATACAGTTTTATAATGTTCAAGGAATATTTCAGGAGAAAATTGCCATGAAAAAAACAATGATTTTGCATCTGCTATTTTAATTAGCTTGTGGACACTTACCCCACAGTAAACATGATAATCTGTTTCTAGTTGTCATATCTAAAAAGTTTGTTAGGGAATTTT